GTCATGCTGTCACCCCCTCTTCGCACTACTGACGCCTCCTTTCAATCGTCATTGCTTTCTACCGTCATGCGCCCTTTGGGCCTAAGTGTCATGAGCCGGAAACATTGCGTAAAAACAGCAATATGCCGGCAATATCGATGATGATGATGATGATGATGATTACATGAGTATTCGTAAATAGAGGTTATGATATTCTGAGCAATACAGAATGGGCAGGTGCTCATCGTTATACTTTTGACTTCCATTTCATTGTAAATATGTCGTATAATATTTCAGTTTCAATAGGTGCTCGCAACGCTTGTACTGCAACATCTATAATAAACGTAATTGCTCTGCTGACGAGAAAAATAACTGAACTTTTTTTTGAACTAACAGTTCAATTTTATAATTTTGAGCATTTTTAACAATTGATCTTTTTACTATCAAAATTTTCTTATATTACAACTTCAGGTGCTCACAAATCAAGCATTATCCAGAGCATGCTGATAAAGATATTTGTTACTTTTCATGAAAAACTTTTATATTAGTTCACGAATAGCTGAATTCCGGAAATCACGTTTTCACGTTTTTCAAATTTTCAATTGGTTTTCTATAATACAAACCCCTGTACGTAACAGCTTAAAATACTTATAAATCTAGCACAATCCTCAGCTTGCTAAGTGAAGGTAAATTTCATTTTTAATTTTCATGCACAGTAGATACATATATTCCTGTATTCTGGACCCACCTATTGCCTAAAAGCATTCATTTTCATATTTATGTATTCATAGGTCTAGTAAAACCAGGACTTGCTAGTGATAATAATTTTTAGTTTATTTTTTTATTATTCAAGCACATACATGATACTGAATTCTGTATATTTTTGGTTGCATTCAAAGTTTTTTTATTTTTTTTTTTTTAATTTTTTTAATTTTTTAATTTTTTTCCTTTCCCCCCCCCCACCTTCCTTTTTTTTGTAAAGGTATTGACGTTCTTTCTTAAATAAACTATGTTATTAAAAAAGCAACAAAAAATTCAATAATTCGAAATGATGACGATGTGATTTCACACTAATGCCCAGAAATACATCGCATTCTTTCGATTAACAAAACATTTTTTTCCCAGTTACTTTTGACATCGACAAATGGCGCTACATAAGTGTGGCGCTATTTCAACAGATTCGCAGAAACATTGGCAAATCTTTCCTTTAGCTTGTGTTATCTAAAGATGATAGTCTAGCGCTAAGATTTAGTGCTGAAGAAAAAACAGTATTTAGGTATTCAAGTATCCTTTGACCAATCTGATTTTGCCTTGCGGTGTATGTCAGTTTCAGATATAATAAATACCTAAGTTTAAACTTCCAGCATTTAACGTCTATTTCAGACATAAACTATTCTTTTAAGTTGAGGCATACTATTGTTACGAGATAAAATTAAGCTGTATAATCAGAATTCCAAAAATGCAAGTGTGACTTTACTAACAAGTCGTTTGATGCGGAATACTAAAAGGAGAAAGGGACTAATGATAGCTATTATAAAATCTATGAGAACACAATATGGAGGTATATGCAACAGTATGGAGGTACATACAAAAAAATGAAAGAACAAAAACTGTTATTAAACATAGCGCAGGTCGAACATAGCGCAGGCACAAGTTGGCAACTTTCTCACACAGAGTTGAGTCCTAAGCCTCTGGTGGGGTATACCTGCAAATCTCCGTAAATTTACAAAAACATGAAGAGAGGAAAGGAATCAAATTTTCGGTTATATAATGGTTCGATGTAACCAGTATCTAAATACTTTGCAACCATTAACAATTTTTCCTTCCGCAAAGTGCTACCACAACAATCTTACTTCCATAGTACATTAAAGTTTTCTTAACCCAAAATTAACTCATTCTTCTAAAAATGGTTCCTCTGATGTAAAAGCAAAGTTTACTTGACAGTTTCCACATGAAAAACTAAGTCTATTCGCTAGATTTCCTTTGTGTGCACTTTCTAGCGTAAGTAAATTGACGCCCCTATACTCAACACGTTTTCCACATTTGTGATTTTATGTTTTTGGATATATATCATTTCAACTGAACACTAATAGCTGAGTTTGTTGTAAACATTAACTATTTATCGGAGAAAGTGCTGATGTTACCTCATCCACGCTCACTTTGGAGGATAAAATTAAATCTAAAAATGTGTAGCATATTAGTGTTTCGTCGCCCAGTGCTCGTGTCAACATTATACTGACAGGCAACAACTTAATTCCTATCACAGCCACAAGCAAATTTCATAGCATAATCTTTGATCAACAGCTGAAGTTTGAGGATCATATACTATATTACAGACTACGAAGTCCTAACACTACTTTCAGACCATTTATTGGACTAATCCCAAATGGTGAGTTCGCTAAAAGTACTCTTTCGAAATTTTCGTTGTTAATCTTGAGTAGCATTCTGGGGATTTCGTGCCTTTCATGTCTGGAGTCCCAGCATCTCTAGGTCAAAGAAGCCGCTTCTATGCCGAATATTACAAATTAAGCTATATTCGAGATAGATCAGGTTCTTAGAAGGTTGATCATAATCAGTAAGTTTATAAATAAGTAATTTATAATAAGTAATTTCAATGAAGAAAGGAACAGCTTCAATCCTTTGACCACTTCCACGTTACATATGGATTCGTTCTAACGTATTTTTATGATGAAAGAAGCTGTGAAGTTGCTATTTTGAAGGAAGATATTCCAATGCTGACGGCTGGGAAAAATCTAGGAAACCAGATAAGCTGATTTAAGAGAATCATGATTCGTCCATTGAAATAAGCAATAGTTTCACTTTCCTGAAGAAACCTTTCGACAACGACATAATTATGCATAGTGATGGACGAAAAGAAATAAAGATTCTCGCCAATATTATGCCCACGACCGGTTATTTTGCAGAAACTCTTAAATAAATTATTTACCTGGAATATTGATAATTGAATTAGACACATGATTGAAATCAGCCACTTGGGGCACATCGCATGAACGATACATGAGCTAGAAATTCCTTATGGAAAACTGGAGACAAGATCATCTGAGAGAAAACGAACGTTATATACGTCAATTTATTGGCGACGACTTCATTTGCATCAAACAATGAATCTAAAGAGGTATTCCTAGAAGCATTCAAGACATTCAAAGTAAGCCTCGCCATCCGAGAGTTCTGAAAGGACAATTATAATATTGCAATAGGTTTAAGAATTACCGTATCGAATTTCAGGATGTTTCAAGAAGGATCTCAGCTCTGCGTGAAAGAAGCTACGAACTGAGGTTGGGTTCAAAACGTATTTCAAAGTGTTTAAACTCGAATCCGTACAAAGCGTGCTAGATGAGACTTTATCCATCGAGAAGGCCATGAGTCTGAAAGTAGATGAGGAAAACGTAAACGAAATCGTTGATAATCACACACAGGAACTTCCGACCGAGAAGGTAAATAAACTACAAACAGAGAATCATAGAAATATTTTGGAAGAAATTTGTAACGAGAATGAGGTAGGGGCACAGGAGCATATTCCTTCAAATGACATTTAAAATATCCAGGTAAAGTGATAGATAGTTGCCGAGTTCATTGAAACAAAATTACCCAGACAAAATTGAAACATTTCGCATAAGAGAGAGCTGTTCAATGACATTCGTTTAACACATTTCAGAAACATTGTGAAAAGAAGGATAAAATAAATTTCCTTGGCAAACTTGTATTGCAACGTAGAGTAAAATGAAGAAATAGTAGACAAAAATGTAGCAGAACCTTGTCTTATGTTCTAAAAGAGAAAGTTATCTTAACATTGTCTTTTAGAATCAGCGTCATGACAGAATTCAACTGTTTCTTTCATTCAATAAAAAAAAAATATTTCCAAAATCGCAAGGAAAAGATCAAGAACACACGAAAGTGCATTATTTTTACCACTTGGAGGACAAGTTTCAAATTTTTATCTCAAGATTTCGAGGTGCGATTTGAACATTTGTTATCGCATAATTTTTTCTAATTAACGATATAATGTCTACTAGAAAATTTTAAGTTTGGAAATAGTGAAAATTTTCTCTGTTCTGCACAAGTAACCAATGAACCAGGTTTCCTCTGAGACCTCTTTAATTTTTCATGGACATTGACAACACTGAAAACTGACCTTATAAACAGAAATTGAGTTCCTCTATGTTTTCAGAAAATATTATGAGAATACATCTAAACGATATGCCTGTGTATTTATTCACAAGCCATCAGCCAGAAATGCAGAGTCTTGTTAATTTCGTTTACAAATAGCAGGACATTATCGCAAATCTTGTAGGATCATATGTACGGTTTTTCGAGGACCACTTGTGACCCGCTGGCCATAGTTTGAGAATTGCTGTCTTAATGTCTACGTGTTTTTTGAGTTCATTTTTAACATTCAAAGGGCAATGGCCAGTCTTTTGACTACATCTGGCAACACCTCAAAAAAGTACAACCCTATCAGAATTTCGACAGTCTAGCTCTGTCCCATTCTCCTGGAAAATGTTCTTAACAGATTCTTATTGTCAGATGTTCTTAACAGATTCTTATTGTCAGATTTTCTTAACAGATTCTTATTGTCCAAAGAATTTCACTGATAATCATAACTGAGAAAAGGAAGAGAAGCAAAGAAAAGAAGCTTCTTTTGTTTGCCTATCGTTACAGTGTTAGCAAAAGTGATTCACTAGAGGCAGTATTGTATGTAACTGAGCAACTCCGTTTCGAATGCTAGCTGAAAGACTATGGAAACGTCATTTCTATTCCGACAGCTGTCGAAGCCATCCCTTGGGGAATAAATTAATATCCAAAAGAAAAAGAAATGAGCATTACGTTTCGATTTCACCTCTTAATTAAGGCAAATTTTGTTCTTTGAAATCAATTTTTTTAACAGAAAATATATAAGTTATCCGGTTAAATTATTATAAGTATCATTTATTAATGTATAAAAAATGATGCCTTACAGATATATTTCTTATGTAAAGCTATAATTATACGAAAATAATTACCCGCAATTATTAATTTTGGCTTAAAGAGCTTGGCTAATACTTGTAGTTGAGCGTAGTTTATTAAACCGGTTTCAGGATCTAATTTATAAGGCATGGATTCAAAGAATATTGAAGTTGCGAAGATTTTCCTTTTATCTGTAAAATATCCATGTGTCAAGTAACCACCATCCGGGAGATCCAGACCCATAATTCTACCATGTGGCTCTACCAGTGCAGTGTAGACTGCGAAATTTGCAGGAGACCCAGAATTTGATTGCACGTTTATTCCCCATGTGTCAGAATTTAAGCCAAAAGTATCCAAAGCTCTTTGCTGGCAAAGACGCTCCACTTCATCAATGTATTCATTGCCCCCGTACTACCTGCAATGAAGGAAGCAAATTGATTATGATATGAAGCGCTTTCATAAAGCATAATCAAGAAAAGTGTTACTTGTAAAATGCTAATGATTCCATAGAATTTTCGTTAAGGGGCAGGATTAGCAATGATGTCCAATATTATTATTGCTTCTAGAGGGGCTTGTTTCGGGGTAAATGATTTCCTTAAGGGATTTCACTGTATACTAATACCTCAGATTATGATAAATCATAGATACCCAATAGTTCGGATATCTAATGAGAAAATCAAAATGGAAAATAATATCCCTTATCTGGGCGTCATAATATATAACAGACTCTCCTGCTATCAGCACGTAAAATATATGAGAGACAAGCTCATAACCCTGAGCTACTGTCAGAAATTCACAGCTACTAGGAACTGGGGGATATCCCCAAAATTACAAAAACAGTGTTACCATACAGAAACAGAAAAAATTCTACTACATGGCCTTTCAGCCTGGGGCAAAAACCTCAATACGCATGCCCAAAGACAATTACTTTCTGTAGAAAGACTTTTTCTCCTGACAATCACAAAGGCATATCGAACGGCCCCACAAACGCTTTAAATGTCATAGCAGGTATCCCACAGATCACCGTTACAATAGAACAAGAGGCAACAAAAGTAAAAGTAGCACGACTGCGCCAAACCAGTACATTCAGTAATACGATGTACCATCCAACAGATTACGAAAAACATAAGCACAATTTAGATTTACATCCAAACCATATATACACAGAAAACCGTGCATTAAGTATAAATGTTTTCTTACATCACAAAAATTATAGCGTATAGTGTATCCTGCATAAGTTGCTCCGTATTCTTATATAGTACATCGTATATTATGTTTAAGTGTTTTCTAGCATTATTAAACTAAATAATTAAACAGTGCATAGTGTATCCTGCATAAGTATATTGTAAATATTGCTCCGAATTCTTGTATAGTACATCGCGTTTTATGTATAAATGTTTTCTTGCATCTTAAAATTCTAATGCATAGTGTAGTCTGCATAAGTTTATTGTAAATCTGCCCCGTATTCATACATTGAACATCGTGAATTATGCAATAGTGTCTATTTGGACCATGCATTCATAGTGCACATTGTATCTAGCACAAGCGTATTGTAAGCACCGCTCAGTTTTCATATATTGAGCATTATGCATAAGCGTCTTCTTACATCATAAAATTATAGTGCATGGTGTATCCTGCATAAGTGTATTGTAAATATTGCTCCGAATTCTTATATAGTACATCGTGTCTTACGTATAAGTGTTTTCTTACATTTTAAAATTATAGTGCATAGTGTCTCCTGCATAAGTGTATTGTAAGTAACGCTCCATATTCATATATAGGATATCGTGTATTGTGTATACGTGTCTTCTTACATCCTATTTTATAGTGCATGGTGTACCCTGCATAAGTGCATCGTAAGTATCGCTCTGTATTCACTTACAGTGCTTCGTGTATTAAGTATAAGTGTTTTCTTACACCACAAACTATAGCGCTTGGTGTATCTTGCATATTTGAATTTTCGTATCATCATAGTACCAACATAAGTATCCATGAAGTGTATACTCTTGAGTTTATGTAACCATGTCCTTGTAATGCATCATGTAAGTCTCTAGCGTTCCCAAGTAGTCATGTAAGTCTATGTTACCACCCTCACCTGTTATACCAATCTCTGTATTTTCCACTGTATATAACTGCCCTTGTATGGCCATGTACTTTATTTCATGATGTCAATAAACGCTGAGTTCCGGGGGAATTGGATGACAGTGAATTCCCCGGGAGGGCGCTTTGGTCAGCTGGACTACCATCCGGATGAATAAGGCGCTGGGTCTGGGCGCTCCGTGCGAAACTCCCATGTGGCCATACCATCTGGCCAGCGCTAGATAATGTTGGACGTGGTGCTGTACTGATTAGCCTTTACTCTAAGAGGACAATGCCCATGTTCACCGTCACTTGTACTCAGGAAACCAAATAGTGAATTCTCCAAAGACCATTTCCCAATCTGAATCTACACGGACGGGTCAAAAACTAACTGGGTGTCGGAAGTGCCTTTTGTACCTAAGAATTAAATAACTCTTTAATACATGACAGCTACACATAGCTTAACAGAACAAATCCTGTATTCCAAGCTGAATTGTTAACCATTAGAGAAGCTGTGAAATTTGCCAGGATACAACAAGAAAAAAGAGTTATAGTTTCCGACAGTGTTTCAAGTTTACAGGCTGAGCAGCTCGCCACTAGGAAAGGAAATCCAACACTTAGTATCCTATTTCGTAGAGAAAATCCCTCTCAAGCTTCACTGGACACGCGCCCATGTGGACACAGCAGCCAGCAGCAATGAAGCAGCCGACCAACTGGCAAGAGATAGTGCAAAGGGACAACTTTTCCCCAACCATCTATTTGCCAATTCCATTATCACATCTTAAATCAAGACTGGAAGAGGACCTTATGTCCTTGTGGAAAATTAACTGGACACAAGAGCTAACAGGCAGGAAGACATTTAATTTCTTCCCGGTGCCCTAAAAGGAATTAACCACTACAGGCAGAACAATGACATATTTTCTGACGTCGCATGGCCCTTTTGCAGCCTATCTGTTTCACTTCGGCTTGCACCACACAGACTTATGCATATATGCGGCTCAACAGGTACCATCGATCACTATACGTTCGAGTGTGAAATCACCAAAGACCTACATTTCTGGCCGTACACAGCTGAAAATGCCCAGGTTTGGCTGAAACAACTCCAAAAGAGTAAGCTACTACAAAACAAACTTAAAAATCTCATAGACTACCTGGCAATAAATTGAGAAAATTTAAAAGCAATCTAAAAAAAAAAAAATCATTCAGTGCAGTCAAAGTATTGACACTCTTTAATAACCACAGGCCACAAATACATATCTTCCGAAATAACGTTATAAATTCAGTTACAAATTTATTTAATTTTTAATTAAATTTTAATATTCTATAGAAATTTTTGGCTAGGCTTAGCGATAATAGAATGCTCCACCAATTGAGTACAAATGCTGATAGTCATATAACAGGCGGTACAGCAACTTAGCTGGCGGTAAGTAAGTATTATATCGTATATTATGGGAAGCGTGCCATTTCTGTATTTTTAATTTCTGTTATTTCATTTGTGGTGTTGCGTGGTCCCAACTTGCACGCAACAATAGTAGTGACTGCTATGAACTGGAAAGTACACAAACTCTTAAGAAGGGTTTAACTCCCTTTTTATTCCACTTTAGAAGTTACAGATGCGTTCACTTGACGCTCACAAACTACGCCGACCCGGCGGTTAAATAAAAATAAAAAAGTACAACTAAAAATGAATAATAACAAGTCACTACCTACGAGGCTCTCTAAACGTGACTAACCGCGTTCTAAGATACAGCTGAGATTTCAGCAAACTTTCTGAATAAAAAGTTGAAATATTCAACTAACTGCCGAAGTAAGCACACAGACCGAAACGCGCGGTTCTTCAATTTCTACCTAGCAACCTTCACGCTCGTGAATCAAGAACGCACACTTACGAACTCGTTTCCCTTCTATTTAATTCAAAAATACTTCTGCTAAAAATTTGAATACTTTGCGCGTTCTACTAAAATTTACATACTCTGGCATTGGCAATTCCAGGGGAAAGTAAGGCTTGACAGGAAAGATAGCTTAAACTTAAAATAAATGTTAGTTAAAATAAATATAAACCCTACACATTAACTGTAAATTGTATTTTTAATCATCGTTGAGTTTTAAATTGTATTTCTCTTTGTTTTCTTTTTGATATGCTTATAGTTCTTTCGACATACGATAAATTTCGATAGTTTGGGGGTCTTTAAGTCAAAAGTCGAGTCGGGAAAATCGAGAACTTGCTTCAATAAGTAACTTTTGCATTTCTGATTTTCTGATGAATTTTCGAAAATAGGTCCATTTTTCTGACTGTTTGATTTCCATTATTTTAAAAGTTCCACATCTGAAATATATCAATCACAGAGTGTTAAAATTTCCGTACATTATAAAACAAAATCTCTGTCCTCTTTTAAATCAAAATTTATAAAATGATATTTATTAGGCAATGTTTTACACTTTTATTCATAATATGCTACTAAACGGAGAGAGAAGTAATGGTTCTACGTTAGCCATCGTTTGGAAACACAGTTCCATAGTTATAATGCGTATACTTCGTAATAGATTTTTGGCTTCCCTACAGATGTCTTTAGAATTGATGTTATTTCTGCATTTATTAATATTACTTAGCATGATGCAAAGAATTACTTGCAAAAAAATTAGGCTTATTATAAAAGTCTTCTGATATTTTATAAACGCTATTTATCACCCTCTTCTGTATAGACAGACTTCGTACTTACAATTCATTTCTTTTCATGAATCTTAAAAACTATAGATAAGTGTTCAAAGTTATTTTCAATGAAACCTATCACGTTATTTAAAATTTTTTAGGCAACTTTCTAATTCTTTTAACTGTCACGTTATTTAGTTATTTTAAGCGTTCACTTAACTGGCTCATGGGGTTTGTCACTATATTCAAAACTTTTCTATGTATTTCTAAACTATTTGCTACTATAGTTAAAACTTCGGTAACGATTTTAAACTATTTGCTTCTATAGTTCAAACGTTGGCATCGATTACTAAATTATTTCCTAATAAGTATGAAGATCAGAATTTGCACTTTCATTCATTGTGGATGAGATGCAATGTGGGCAGGAGATTTTACTTCAAAATTTGATTCAAGTTTTAAAATTTAGTTTTGAAACGATTTTTTTCGACATATTTTTGGTTTAATGAAGAAACTCAAATTCCGAACATTACTGTTTGCACCATCAACATAGTGCAGAAAAAATATTTTAAAAGACGTTCATATGAGATTTTTAACGTTATTTCTGATCATACTTTTGACAAACTCATTGGATTGTTTCGATTAGTTGAAGTAACAGACTTGTTGGAAGTAAAAGAAGGATTCTTCATTGCTCTGAAGAGCAATTTTTCAATTGAATAATTTGTTTGATACCGGTTATTGAAGATAAAAAGCCAAAAAAATAAATATAAATAAAATTTTTATAAAATAAACTTTTATTTAAAATTCATACAGTAGTTAATGAACTAAAAGGCCAAAAATAATTTATCATGCAGTTTAATGATAACAATAATTCCCATTTCAAAATCTATCTAGAGATTTATATCATGAATAATAAAAGCGTGAGCTCCTAAATAAGGATCTCTATTAATCAAATTGCACTGTCAAACTTATAAGCCATTATCTTTATGAATTTGTGATGGATGCCCCATGACATTCAAGTTAATATCCAAAAATATAAGCTAATATTAATATTCATACAAAAATTATTGCTTATATTTCGGACACAGCATAAGAGAATATTCAAATTCTTAAAGTTTGCAGGAAAACAGATGCAAAGAATAATTAAAAAAAAACAAGTCTTTACATCCCAGTTTTATACCTACCTCCGTCCTGGATACCCCTCGGAGGTTTTATTGTGTAAACACGTCATCAAAGCTTGAAGTACACTTCGACTGGTGAAATTTTCTGAGGCAATCATTTCCAGTCCACATATTTGTCGAGTCTTTTCTTTCTGCATTATTTCATACAGCTGAGGATCACTCAGATCTAATGTTGTATTTGAGAATTCCATTCCGTCTGAGGAATTTCAAACAGGTTTTATTACTTATCTATTATTAAAATATTTATAAAATAATTGTGGGGGAGCATTTAAAGCATTTTAATAATTAATATCAACTGTCATTATTCTTAAACTATATTTATAATAAAGTGTATATTTTATACCTCTTACTGAAGTTTTGTCAAAGTAAAAAGCAAGCTTTTATTATTTATAATAATCTTAATCTATGCTATTTATAACCACCTTAATCAATATTTTGTTATTCATAATAAGCTTAATCGATGTATTTTATTAGTAATAACATTAACCTTAATACAGTATCGATTTATGGAAGACTTCTATATTCCATTCGCAAAGTGTAGCTTTGTTGAACAAGAATTAATCAGTCTACGCCTAGTCATTTACATTTCTTTATTTAGCTAAACAGAAAGGTTTCAAGCTTTATAAATAAATGGATGAAATTATGATGATGCAAGGTACTTTTACACCTCTGAAAGTCATCAAACGCACGTTAGCTTTCAGTAATGCTTCCTCAGAGAAATCTGATAAAAAAACCGATGTATATAACGAAGACAGAAGGAGAGAAATTAAGATTGAGTTAGTTAGTACAATAAGCAAAGAATTTAAAGGAATTTCCAAATTATAAAGCATGAGAACATAGAATCGCAAGGAAGAAGGTCTCTTAGTGAAAACACAGAATCACAAGGAAGAATGTCTCTTAGTGAAAACACAGAATCACAAGTAAGGATGTTAAAAAATTATGGGGCGTCATAAAATTATGGGAACAAAGGGAAGACAGAATTGAAAAATGAATGCTCAATTTATCAGCTAAGAAATCTAAAAACATGACATTAACTGTACAATTAACACTGATAATAAAATAAAAAGTAAAAATGATAATGGTAATAAAAATAGTAATTAGTTCTAAATAAGGGTAGAAGAGAAAGAAAGAGGACAACCACATATTATTTTAACTTAATTTTTATCCATTAACACGAACAAAGCAGTAATAAACAGAGTAATAAAAATATTCTTGCAATTATGGAAAACTTTCAAAATGATCTAAGTAGAGGTAAAATAAGAAGCGCCTTAGCATATAAAACTCTACATAGGACCCATAATATCTTATTCGGGGTTTCTGCAGGCTATAAGACTCGTTTCCTGTATGCGCATGTTGAAATCGAGTGCTTCGTATTAGAGTAATGTAAAAAAGGTATACTTACAGTACTTAGAAATCAAAAGTAATGATAAATGCAAGTAGTAATCGCTACAGATACAGAAAAATATCGCGTATTTTAAAATTTATCTTCATCTAAATATGCCCATACATAGATTTTAACAAATTAACAATCTTGTTTTAACAATAAAAAAATGATGTGTCAGTTAACGTTCAATTATCTAAAATCTGAAGTATGCCATCTATTATGAATATAAATTCAACCCTTTTAAACAGTAAATTCAAAAATACTTTACTTACATGGCTTTCTTTCGTTGAAAGTTTTAAATATTTAGAGATTAGGATTAGATATAACCTTTAAACATTTCAAAAATTATTTTATTCAAAGAGAAAATATCTGTAAGCAAATTTGAAGATAATGTTATCTAATCAAAAACTCCCTTAAGTTATCATTCGAGAACTCTTGTCGTCAACAGTAATAGATAATTGAAACAAGTCATTACTGATTAAACTCCTTGAAAATTGAAATAGAAGCATTATACTACTACTATTTCATATTCATCAGACATCACGTCTAAGTATTATTTTGCCTGGTTGCTGAGCAAAGTAGTTACTTAATAAATGAAAGAAATATTATTCTGTTTAAATTTCGCATATCCTTAACATTTGGAAAAATCTGAAATGTTCAAGCAAAAGCTATTTAATAGAAAATATTTATAGTATTCAAGTTGAAAAAAAATCTAAAATAGCGAGCCATATATTATAGCTTGCCCAGACAAATGTGGCCAGTCGGTCAAAAGTTTGTCGCAGAATAATATCTCGCAGGGAAATACTCATATAAAATAATTTTTCGCGTCTTAAAAATATACTCTGTACGACTTTTATGTTACATAAATGGATAATAATAATTAAAAAACATCTTAATATATTAAGAAGAAATTTAATTTCCTAGATTTAGAAAGAAGAACAACAGAATTCGGATAACTGGAAATCCGATATCTGCAGCTCTACTGCATCCTAACTCTTGGATTATATCCGGAGGCATACGATCTTAATGCTGTTTCCGTAAAATTTAAGTTCCAAATGAAAACAGCAAAAAATCTGAAAGCTTTCAGACTTTATATTACGCCCAAAGCGGAGTTTTATTTAACGTTTTTCTCTGTTACCTTTATTTATTAAATATCATGTTCTTCGCACTAACCCATGAAATTCAATTCAATAGCAACATCGCAAAATAATTTACAAAGAGCACATCTTTTCAGAATTTCCGATACACAATCTCACGCGCTGGAGATAATTTTTTTTTTTCGTACAGTTTGCCATTACTCGCTTTGAAATCGTTGTTTCTTAATAGAAAATTTGAAAAAATCTTACAAAATATGAAAGTGGTTAAAAGAAACAAATTCCAAAGTCCAAATTTGTATTTGCAGATGCTCATATTCGAGTGGAGGACTGACTACGTTACTCAATTTGCTGTTTCTAGATATCGTTGCTTTTCACAGTGCGAGAAACATATCTACATTCATGTAGATTCTTCATTAGCCCAAAGAGCATTAGCCCAGAAGGACTATTAATTTCGTTTTGGCATTTTGTGGGGTTTGACTATAAACGACGTTTCACTTTTCAAATTGTTGTCACCAAATAGTATCCCTATGTATTATATTTAAAGAAATTAAATAATAATAAAGAACTTGCATAAATGTATGTATGTTTCTTGCATTGTGATAAAAGCACGGTACCTAAAGCAATCAAATTTTGAATAAAGTACGTCTCCACTGGAATATGGGCAAGTGGAAGACCAAATTTTGAATTTTTTTTTATTATCTATTTCATCATTTGTCAAGCATTTATGATTTTTTAAATAAGGAACTCAATGATTTCAAAGCGAGCAATGGCATTGCTGTACGAAAAAAAAAAAAAAAAAAAAAATATCTCTAGCGGAGAGGCTGTGTATCGGAATTTCCAAAGATATGCTCTTTTTAAATTATTTAGTCATACTTCTATTGAATTGAATTTTATGGTTTAAGTGCGAAGAATGTGATATTTAATAAATAAATATAGCACACAAAACATTAAAAAGAAAGCCCCTTTGAGCGAAATATAAAATCTCAAAAACTTTCAGATTCTTTTTGCTTCCTAGTACGAAATAAAAAGTATTGTAATCGCGAAAAGTTTCAGGCAGTATATTTCAACGAAAATATCCATTTTGAGTGCTATGAATGCAATTTAACGATGTTTTTGCTTGACATCTGTACGTAAAGATAGAATAAAAGACTCTTTTCCACACAAAAAATTATAAAACTGCTTTAAAATTAATTATGAAGAGAATTTTTCGTGGTGTCTGTACGTACGTATGTATCTCGCATAACTCAAACACGAGTAGCCTCAAAAAGTTGAAATTTTGTATATAGAACTTCTATAACATGTAGATGTGACCTCGTGTTTTGGTTGCAATCGGCCGCACCAAACGTATATAAATTTATTTATATATATATCCACTCCGTTACCCGGCTCAGTGATCTCAGTTTCTTTACTCTTAAATGTTATGTTTGTAAATTGTGCATTTTTGTTTTTGCTTTAAAAAGATTGAATTATATTTTTCTTATCTTCCTGTTAAGGTTTTCATGCCTTCAGGAAATCTGCAAGTAATATTTGTAGAGATGTTAACAATTTAAAGCTGTTTAAGTGCGGTTAAGCGTAATTTGTAAATAACATGGCGGACATTTTACATTTGAAACAGCAGAATGGAAAGTTTGTCGCCAAATTAAAGAGAGATTAAGCTTTGCAACAACAAAGATAACGCCTTCATTTATTATTTTGAATTAAATCATGCTTAATCCTTTCTGGAATTTTTCCGAGGAAATAAGTGTTTAAGTTTTACTTCGTAATTTTTAATATAGATATTTTGAGCTTTTATGTATTTTTGACTTGTCGCAAAGTGTGAACTGAAGTAATTGAATGAGAAATACTGAATCGTCAGTGAAAACTGTTTCGTTTCTGTTTTGTTTGCTTAATTTCTTTTATACATCGTTCTAGATTTATTATAGTATTTGAATAGAACATGTGGCAACGGTTACATAATTTTTCAAATGATGTAAATTCTGGGCATTCTGAGTTACAATATAACGCTGTTAAATGAACCTAGCATCAGAGTGTCGCTATGGTAAACAAATATAATGAATTTTAAAGAATATAGGGAATTACATTTATTCTGCTGTGGTTTATGGGCTATCGACGAAGTAGATTTAATTCAATCCAATAAGTTTAAATGAAATGCAAGGGAAAATGCGTATAATTTAATATTCCGTACACATCAGATTTTTTATTATTAGTTTTAAATTTCTTTAAATATAATGTCATATTTGGTGATAACAATTTGAAAAGTGAAACGCCGTTTATAATGAAGCAAAGCAAAATGCCAAAACGAAATTAATAACCTTTCTGGATAAATTGTCCTTTTGGGCTACAAAGTACCAATTTGTATAAGAAGCATCGTTTCATGTACACTTCTTTAATTACCATGAACTTAATTTTGTTGAAATGCGTACTATCAAGAAATTAGTAATATGAAATTAGTAATATTAGTAATAACACGTCTGTTTTTAAATAAAACCTTTAGCTTTCTCACCAAATCAAATTTTACTATCAAGCCGTTCAGCCCTGTATTTTTTGAGAAGTTGAAACAAAATATTGTTTATAAGTGTACAAAAGAACTCCCCTTGCAATAATATCAGCAAATTCCTACTAGAGTTAGTTATTCGTACTAACAAAGCGTCTCACAAACAATGCAAACTCATTTATGCCCCTTACGGAAGCCAAATTGGTTATTATCAATTAATTCTAGTCTTTCCAGGCGATTGTTGAGGATTCGTTTATATATTTTGCCAACTGCCGGTAAAAGGTAGCTGGTGACAAGACAAGTTTTGGGTCTTTCCCAGGTTTTAAAAGATTAATGTTAATAGTATGCTTCCACTACTGTGGGAAGTAGCATAGTTTTATACATGCGTTAACCCTTAGAAAACTTCGAAAACCGAAGTCTTCGCTAACATGTACGCTTAAAATACCGAAACGCCTGGCCCCGTCCATTACCAGTTCCGTCCGTTTCCTCCCCTCCCCATCCATTAACACACAAAGAGGTGTGAAGATTTCAAATGACATCTTTTATATTTCCTATCAAAGAAGTTTCCATTAGCCTTTTAGGACAAACTGTCTATAATAAACTGATACAATGCATTTAAGGAAACGGCACCTACTCTTGCTTACGTTACAGGAAGCAGAAAAAAAAATCCTTCTCTCGGTTTTTCCGACGGTTGCACTCTCTTGAATAAAAGGTTGTTTCGGGCATTTTGGCCTTCGAAGGGTTAAAGATATTCGTGAGTCCGACTATACACCTTATGGGAAGAGCTTTCAGAGTTTCATTATTGATGGCGTCGAAATCTTTAGCTTTTCGTTTAAAAACATTTTTAACTATCATTCTTACTTCATTTGGAGAGGTTGGAGTAATGAAATGAGTGCTAGGTCTATTTTTAATGCTGCTCAGCGATAGAGTAATTTCTTTTTCATGTTCAGAATTATTATCTGAGTGCTTTTCAAAAATCTTGGCTAATTCATTTGCCATTCCATTTTCAATTTATAATTCAGAATGATGGAGTGTATATCTTACATGTTACATAGCTTTAGTATTGTTGAAAGCCTAGTGAGCATTTTCCCTATAAATGTGAACTTCTGAGACTGCTGACGTCCAACTTTATTTTGATCTGCGAAACTTTTTTCTTTTACTGCAAGAATTGTTTGTACAGCTTTTAATTTTTACTATACATTTATCTCTATTTTAATAACATTTTTTATTTTCAAAAAACACACATTCAAAAAAAATATTAATTAATTATAAAGTTAATATACGTGTAAACATAAGAAAATTATTTACTAAATTATAGCGTAAATGTAATAGTAATAATAATTTTCAAATTCATCAAAATGAATGAATAAATTAATGCTATATTTATTAAATATTTTTCCTTCTGTCGTTGAAAGTAACAATTCAGCATATATGCGATCCAATTTATACTGTTTCCATTACTTAAATACAACATTGCATGCATAAAGTGATCGTCTTTCAAACCATTTCTTTATTTATTTTTTATTTAATTCATCCAACTGAAACTTCGTTCACAACCCACCAATGCTCTACCAATGCGCATTAATTTTGAAAGCTGGAAAAACTGTTCATTCTAATGAGATATTATCATATATGAAAAATTTATTATCAATTACTACTTAATTTTTCTACACATGCCAAATTCAAAGTCATTATATTTGTTTTACCTTTTAATGTGTTACTCTATTTTACCCTTAATCTTTCGACTACCTCTGTGCTATAACTGAAAT